GACCCCCAGAGGAACAGGACATAGGATTGGCAGGACCCCCGGCAGGAGGGTAGTCGGCGGGACCCCCAGAGGAACAGGACATAGGATTGGGCGACTGTGGCTGTGAGGGAGTGTGGTCGTCTTTCAACCAGAAGGTTGTGGGTTCGATCCCAGCCCATGCAGTCAACATGTCGATGTATCCTTGGGCAAGATACTTAACCCTGAGTTGCTCCCGATGGCATGGCCAACGGTGTGTGAATGTGTGTGAATGTTAGGTCCTAGAGTAAGGTACACTGCTCTGTATGAATGGGTGTGAATGGGTGAATGACATGTAGTATGTAAAGCGCTTTGAGGGGTCTTAAAGACTGGATAAAGCGCTATATAAGTACAGTCCATTTACCATAATATCAACAACATTTATTTGAATAATTACATGTTTGATACATATTAAAACAAACATAAGTGGTTACTTTCATCTCAATAGTTGATTCGAAAACTTAATATATCAATCAAAGTATTTAACAATCAGATAAGCATAGTCTAACTATAAAGTGCAACTCACCATGGCCAGGTAACTGAACTTGAAATTCAAAAGTGTGACGGTTCATACAGTTTTCTTCATATGTATGTAAAAAGTGAAGATGCCACCACACTAGGCAGCTTCTCCAACACATCGTACCCATCCTATTTAATTGCTTTAAGTCATGCCAGTGTGTCTGCCATATATGCATAGACAACAGACAAAGTGCAGTCTGTTTCAGAAGGTCCTATCAACAAAAATAACACTCCATTGCTGAGTTTTGGAGGGAAGATAAATGACAGCGTATACTGGTATTAGCGGTGCATTGCATTTGTACTGGTTGGTCTAAAATCCTGCTGCTGGAGTTGGATTTTTGGCTCAAAAAGTGAGGAGACGCTCACCAACCCTGAACAGTTTGAGAAATACAGTCTATTACAACTCCTGTCTTATTCATGTCCCCTTAAAACAGTCGTACACACATTATTGTCCATCTTTTATAAGCGGACATGTTGCTACGGAGTATGTGTGTGTAAAATAGAGCATATTGCGTTGTTTTCAACTTGTACTGCTAACAAAGTTAACCTGGCAACACCTGGAACACCTCAACTTTTGTTTGACGTCATGCACAGCTATGATTTCCAACTTCCCAGTACAACTGGTACGCACCATAGGTCCTTATTGTTAGTCCTTTCAAAAACATTTAGCTCGGCTGCAAAGACAACACTCTTCATTTCCTCCCCAAAAGCAGTGGTTTAACGTCAAGTATCTTAGTTTTTTTGCAAATTGATTTCCTCAGAAATCTTCAGAAAAATGGCTCCTCTTTGCACGTCCATTTCTCCGGCTTGTGTATAGAAATGTGGCTACCTTGAGTTTCAGAGTCATCTCTCCTCAAGAGTTTATAGGAATTATCGAGATCATTGTGACTGGTCGTTTTTTGCCCCATCAAAATGTCCTTGTTGCCGTCACTGTCTCTGTCACAGATTTGCTTTTTTGAGACAAGATGCATAGATTGCTGTGGATTGATCCTTTTTTTCGGCTTTTTATTTTTCACCCCGGAGGATGTCAGGGAAAACACTGTGCCAATGCACGGCGATAACTGACTTTTAATTTTGGAGTATGACATGTCTTGGTAGGTAGGTAAAGACACCAAGTCACCTGTCGTGTCCTCAATTTTAGGATTCATTTTATCAATGGAAAGATATTCTTCGTCCACCCTTTCACTTTTTATTTCAGCGTCTCCTTGGTTGCCACTGTTTTCTATTTTGATGTCTTGTTTAGTATCTTCACGCAGGTGTGCAGAGTTTTGAGAGCACGGTGTGAAGTTGTCAGCGTTATATCCCTCCTCGTTTGTCTCCTTGTGTTTTCTCTCATGGCTTCTCTTGGTGGCAAGATAAAGAAACCGTTGGGGACAGAAGGAGCAGCGATACTTCTTCTCTGGGTTGGGGCTCCGTGATGTATTATCAAAGCAGGAGCCATTCTCCATACAGCTGCTGCAGATGTAATCCCCACCGGCCGGTGCCTCACCAGGAGGACCTTGTTTACCGCATGTGCGACAGAAAAATGGGTGGGAACCAATAACATGAGCTCTCAGACCTGTCTCTGTGATGAACGAGCTGTCACAGATGTCACAGGTGTAGGTGGCTCTCGGGCTGGAGTTCTTGCTCAGGCTACGTTTCATTTCTCCACTCCCACCGGACGTGCTCTCTTCTATCAGCCAACTACTTTTCTCGATGTGGGCCTCACTTGCAGCTGTTCTATCTACAGATGTTTCAGGATAACCGTGAAACAAAGCCTTTCTGTGCTTGAACCTCAACTTCTTTGTTTTCTTTTTGGATTTGTAAGAATAGTAAGGACGCCACAGCATGTCGGCTGTGTCGCAGTCATTGGGATCTTCGGATGTTTTCGTATGCGCTTTGGCAGAAGCGATTTCCTGTCTCAGTCGGAGCCGAGGGCTCTCCGAGGTTTCCCGTGTTGGAAGACACTGACTGGAGCTCTCCTCTTCACCCAATTCTCTGATTCTCCTTTTCTTTCTGGGGAAGAGCTTGGAACCTTTGATCTGGCGGCAGATTATGGCCTCATTGCCTATTTTCACTGTTATCTGACAGAGCGGCATGGCGGCACCATCCACAGATGGACCCGGGCACGCAGGTTTGGCGATATATGTTTCAGTCTTTGCCCCTACCTTTTTATCGTATGCCAGATTCCCATTGCTTGATTGAAGAAGCTCCTTGGTCATATCCTCAACCCTTTTTGCAGAAGCTGATAGCTCACCTAGCTTTTTAACAGTTTTCAAAGAGTTAAAGAACGGCACATTATGACTGATGTGCTCTGAGTTACTAAGTACTGTAGGATCACCTTTGAAACTTATAGCGGGAAACTCAAAGTCGATGTTTGGTGAATGTTCATTCTCCGCCTCTTTTCTTTCCAAATCACTTTGGTCAACATCTTGGTCACATGGCTTGTCAAAGCTGATGCGTGGCATGACAGGTGACACCATCTTTGGAGTTGCCATGAATGTCAGAGGGAATGAAACAGAGTCAGACTTACTGATGAGACCCTTTTCTTCAAACGGAGGGATGAGAGAGTTGCTCTCTGGCGGGGCTTTGTCACCTGTTTCATCAACCTCTGAAAATGTCTGACTGTATGTCTTGTACTTTCTCTTTCTGAACTTCATAGGCAGAATCCTGTAGAGTTTGATTGGGTAAACACTGGCTTTCAAACCACCGTTAGCGGATTTTTTCTTAACAGCTAGATTAGGATCAATGCCGTGAAAAGACTTCTGATGGTTCTTTAAGATATAATATGTCATGAATGTCTCCAGGCAGAAAATGCACTGATAGCGGCGTTCCCCTGTGTGCCAGATTTCGTGCTTTGTTCGATACTCTGCCAATGCAAACACTTTATTACAATAATGACAGGGGTATGCCCTCTGCCAGGAATGTACATTTTCGTGCCGCTTCAGACTGGATAAGGTGATGTAGACGCGTTTACAAACACTGCAGTTGTATCTCCTCTGACTGCCGCCTGGTCTCACCACCTTCTCGTCCTGTGAAGGCTCTGATTGGTCCATTTCAAGGGGCTCTGGGGTGGAGAGGTCAGCAGAAGGAAGCTGTATTGCGTTGCTCTCAGTGTTAGGCTCGTCTGAATCTGAATGTAGTTCCACCTCTTTGGTTGATATGTCAGAAGAATCCTGTTTAGGCGATCTTCTCACAGCCTTGGGACAGACCTGCTCGTGGTTACGCAGCCGTTTGAGGTGTATGAACTTTCTGTGACAAAACTTGCAAAACAAATGACTGATAAAACGCTTTTTATGTACTTCTGAGTGAACGACGAGAAGAGCCTGATTTGTGAATATCTCCGGACATTGTTCACATCCGTATATTGAAATGCTTTCTTCAGTGTGAGGGGAAAGGGTTGGTGGATCTGACTCCATTTGAACATTGTCAGTGGCTATTGGTAGCCCGGGTCCTTTGCATTTGTCTGTTTCTGCTTCTGAACTAAGAAGAGGTGGGGTCATGACTGCCACAGGTGCTTTAGAAACACCATCAGCTTCTGTCGGGGGTTTTGTATTTGGTGTATCTGCTTGCGATTCAGCTGGTCTTGGAAGTATATTTCGACACAAATTTAGTCTCAGCCTGTGGCGCTTTTTGAGCGGACCTGCGTTCCTGTAACTGAGTTGCTTTGACTGAGATATTGCTGGCTTAAAGACCTTCTTGTTATCCCACTGACTGCTTTCTTTGCCTTCAAATGATTGTATCACTGCATATGAGTGCTCTGAGAGGGCGTGGGTTGTCTCATTGTTCACATTGAGGCAGGAGGTTGTAGGAGAACTTGATGGAAGCTGTCCCACCTCTGGAGACTGCCTCTCCCCTTTGTTTTGGACCAGAGGGGTGAAAAGATTGGTCCCAGAACACACTTCATTGATAGAGAAGGCATTGGTGATGCGTGGCCCCCTGTCAACGTCCTCAGGCCTGGAAGCTTCCTGTCTCGTTTTTATTGACACTGTGGCTTTGATGCCGTCTGTGGATTTCACACATTGGTCCTGCCTCTCTTGTTCTGCAAGCTTCTCCAAAAAAGGAATGCCAAGTCTTTTTCCAGCTGCTACCAGCACACGTGTGTCCTCCACACCCGGCGATGTCACCTTTGAGCAGTAGATGAAGTTCAGGATACTGGCAAACACCTCGGACTTAAGGTCCATCAGCTCCAGCACTTGGTCGGAGCTACATGTCTCAGGTGTCGTCAAAGCGTTCCTGAAGTACCCGCTGCAGGCTGCCAGGATGTTCTTGTGAGCCCGAAACTTCACATCCTCCACCACGATGGTAACGTCGCAGAAGAGGCCTTGTGAGCGCTGTTCATTGAGCTTGCTGAGCACAGTGTGAGGATGAGCACTATCCATCAGGTTCTGAGTGCATGGAGACACCACAGTCATCTAAAAACAAAGAAGAAAGAGAAAAAAATTGTTACTCAGATTTCATCAAAATGGTGGATCAGGCTGTGATTTTATATAAGAATGAAGATGTGAGTACATTTTGTTTTTGTAATGTTTTAGCTGTTCTAGTGTTTTACCACTAGATGGCAGTAATGTCCTGAGAGATGAGCTCCAGTGCCAACAGTCTGGAAAACAGACAGTCAATACGTCATAATCTCCATCTTGAAATAAATAATAAATACATTAAGTGTTTAAACCTGAATGAATTAAACATGTGCTGAGTTAAATACAGAATGTAAACATCAATACATAATCTATGGAATGATGGATGCCTTTATTATACTAGTTTAGGATTTTGCCCCTACTATCCTAACTCTTTTATTTAATTTGTTGTTATTCGTGTTTCTCTTGTGAAAATATTTTTAATCTCTTCTAAGGGCTATATTAAGGGATTTTTATTTAAAGCTTTTCCCATTGTATTAGGAAAACCTTATTAATGTAACACAAGTACATTTATTTAGACTTTACAGTCACATTGGGCTATCAATCATTTGTCAGTGCTATGATTGGAGCAATGATTGTTCGAGTAATGTCTATTAATCCTATTTTCAAGATGCCCTTGAGCAAGACATTGAACTCCTGAATACTGCAGCGGGTTGCACAAGAAAACATCTAGATGGCAGTGTGATGTACAACACTGAGATTACATAAGAGTACTAAAAGTTCGAAATTTCGTGGAAGGACATGACTCAATATGTGAGTCAATAATGTTGCCACTGATCTAGAATTCACCTTTAAATATTATTCAAAAAGTATGGTAGCTTAGTTTTTCATATTTGAAGTCTTCATGTCATGATCAACCCAATTTCATATTGCATTAATCCCAGAAACAGAAGTCGTGAGATGATTTCTAAGACTTGTATTGATGAGAAGTCTTTGCTTGCGCCTGCTAAAATAAACTCAGTCGTTGATTTCTCTCATTATTGCTGATAATAACTCAGTTTGGGTGGTAAATCCATTCCGTGTACTTCCACAGCTCTGCAGTCTGGTTTAGTTGTCATGACAGTCTTATTATTCTCATGGCCTGGGTTAATATGTAAATTACATGCAGACAGTTACGCACTAATTACTCATTTGCTCCCTTTTTCCGTTTTCCGTCAGTTGGCAGTAGTGACATCCTTTCACTTGTCCCAGATAAAAAATGTGTCAACCCTAGCAACTTCAGGAAATAATTCATGAATGCCTCATGAGGGAAATGGCAGCCACTGATACAATGTAATGTAGCACAGAAGCAGAATAATCATTGCTTTAGATACACTAACATTTTGGGCCTTTACAACGCAGCAGAAATGCTTTGTACTAAATACGTTATCTCAAAAGGCCCTATTGTGACGTGTTTCCATGCTTTAATGTTCAAAAAGCTCTTTCTTTTCTCATTCGGCCTGTTCTGCAGCACCTCTATTCAGTTCTATTCTATTCAGTCTGCTCTGATTGGTTAGCTGGCCGCCTCTATTGTGATTGGTCAACTGCTTAGAGATGTCTCTACCCTTAGCCTATCACGTACAATGTGTTGGAGCGCTAGCCAATAGAAGCAGGAGTGTTACATAGGGATGTCACTATGTTACAGAAGTAAATAAAGGGGTCCTATGGAGGCGTTTCAGACAGGGTGTGTGGGAGAGAAACTCCCTCTGGAATCAAGTGTTGAATCAGACTTTAGTTCCACCTGGAGTAAATTCACAAGCTACCCTGCAGTATACAAAGTCATTCAAACTAGCTGCACCTTTACCAGCTTTGAGAACACTTTCATGATCAATCATTATAAAACATATCATATATATTATTCTGAAATGGACCAATCTNTTTATCCTTTGCCGACCATTTACATGTACAGAAATCCATATAACACACTACAGGAAATGGAAACTCCAAAAAGCATAATAGGACCTGTTAATGACACAAACTTAGTCCTCCAGTTATAACACGCGCTGCACAGATTTCTACCCAGACAGGCAATGCATATCGACATGACAGCATTTGTGAATAAGTAAGAAACTAAATGATTTGCAACATTATAGAGGAAAGTTAATTAATTCTCACTTTGGAAATAGGAAGTTCTAACTTTGGCCTACGCATAACAGAGTCATGGTAGTTTGTCTTGCATGGGTCTATGAGTCATATACAGTAGCATGTCTCAGGGTGACTGCATTTCTGCTCTCAGCTTGCCTTTGTAAGGGATGAATCATCACACCTGCATCAACGTTATTTAAATATCTGAGATCATCATCATTTAAGGCTGCAATGAAAGTCATACAGCGGTGGAATTTCCTCCTTGGAAGACAATTCAGCAAACTGCTACTCTGAAGGCAGAGACAGGGTTCTTACACCTCTTCCAAAGTCAAATTCAAGCACTTTTCAAGCCTTTTCAAGGTGCATTTTCCAGCTTTTCAAGCATCTTACAGCTGTTGTAAATTACATATTTATATACACATACTCAAATGATTATTTCCCTACCTCACATTAAATAAGATGTTCTTTATGCTACAAACAACCAATTNTATATTTCTATTAATCATTTTTGGCCTTTCGGCATTCGGTTTTCGGCTAACTGTTTCCTATTTCGGTATCGGCCAAGAATTTCCCATTCGGTGCACCCCTACCTGAACACCACACGATGGCGACTGTAACGCACATAACATAGGTACGCTCCTCTGAAATGATTGTCCCCTGCAATTATTATTATCCCTCAATCGAGTTCGCGATTCAGCTTGCTAACGTTAGCA